GTTTTGTATTAACGACATCTAGTCAAGTCCGGAATTATAGAGATCATGTGGGAATGTTTTCTCGGAAGAAGTGAAGACACAAAGTTAGGATAGGCTTTAGCATTTGTTTTCATTTCATCAGATTGATAAATGTATATAGAATATAGGCAAGTATTTTTTTCAGCAACACAAATACAAGCAGGCTTTAAAAAAACAACTCTCTGAGGATATGTATAATTTTGTATGATTAAATGTTGGACTTTTATATTACGAATTACTTGAAGTAGTACTCTTCTATTATAAATAAAGAATTGTATGAGAGACTTAATTAGAGATTATTGAAAGAAATATTTTCCATGAAGTTTCAAAATATAATTTCTTTATTTTTATGAAAATACGTTCCCAGGACAAAGCCAAGCCAACGGGAATCCAGTGATCCGGATTCTGGTAAAAAATCCGACTGGATACGACTAAGTTCTGACTGGATTCTATCGATTTTCATCAGGCTCCGATGATCTTATAAAGATTTATGCCTATATGTTTTCTGATGATTAAAGAATTATTTAGATGTTTTCAGAATATTCTTACAATTCTAAAAAGTTTCTTATAAGTAAAATTTATTTGTTCAATTTTTCTATTCAAACTTGTGTAATTCGAAATCAATTCAACGAATTTTAACTCCTTGAAACTATTCAATATATGTTTTACTATAAAGTTTTAGAATTTAATTAATAAACATTATAATTTAAAATAAATCAAATCTTTACTTGAAATGATTCGAAAATTTGAGAAATATTTTGTAGAATATATATTTGCATGTAGTTTATTAATAACATAAATTTATTGATTTTTTTTTTTGAAATAGTTCTCGTTCACCATCACCTCATCGAACAAAACGTAATTCACCAAATGGTCGTCGTCCACCAAATGAAATTCATCGAGAAAATCCAATACCAAGTGCTGTTCTTGGTGTATTTGGATTATCACAATATACAACGGAACGTGATCTTAAAGGTTTTTTATAATTATTAAAACAAACAAAAAAAAAAAGTCTTTTTTTTGTACATCTTTAGATTTATTTCACAAATTTGGTCGTATAAAAGATGTTCAAATTGTAATTGATAAAAAAACAAATAAATCACGAGGTTTTGGTTTTGTTTATTTTGAAGAAATTGAAAGTGCTACAAGAGTATGAAAAAAAAAACCAGTGTACTTAAATGTTTTTCTTATTCTAAAATTGTATTATTCTATTATTAGGCAAAAGAAGCACTTAATTCAGTTGAACTTGATCATCATCGTTTACGTATTGATTATTCAGTAACTAAACGTGCACATACACCAAGTAATTATTTTAATTTAGTTATATATATATTTCTTTTGTTTTTTTTTCTCAAAGCACCTGGAATTTATATGGGTGTTCGTACAACATCTTATCATCGCTCAAATGGTCATAGTTATCGTCGTTCACCATCATCAGATAGAAAATCAAATCATCGACGACATCATCATCATCGTCATCGTCATGATTATTCATCGAGGTTTGTTTATTTTATTTATTTATTTATTTTTGTTTATTTAATAAATATTTTTATAGATCACGTTCACGTAGTCGAAGTCGATCAAGATCTCGACGTGGTGAACGTCGACGTCGAAGTCCCGGCAATGCATATGATTAATATAAATGGTAATAAATTAAGAGATAAATTGTTAGAGTATTAAATATACGAAACATTCGATACAAAAAAAAAAATGTTTATTTGTTTTTTTTTTTGTATGCATCAGTGAGTGAAACCATAAAATTTTATCGTCAAACACTTTTCTTTTTTTGTTCACAAGTTAGTCAATACCGATCATTTTCTTAAAACAAAAAAATACCGTGTGACAGATGTTCTCATTTTTATTTGAATGAATCATTGAATTTTTTCTAAATTATAACTTATGTCAATATGATACAGTGTTGATTAATTCAAGTTTTATAAAAATTAATGTGCAAGAAAAATAACTCTTTCAATAAATCTAAAATATACATTTAATTACAATTTTCAATGTCAAAAGCTATATTGAATCACACATATTTTAGAGAAATTTTTTCTAGTGAAAAACTTATCTATGGCCGTCCTGAAGTCAGTTTTTCGGTGGTATTTCTCTGACATATGCGCCGCCATGGACTACGTTTTGATGTACACTTGCTCTTGTGACTAACCTACAAATGTAAGATGAGTTCAAACAATTGAACACAATCAGATCAGTCTTTTGTCGAGAGTTACCGTTAGTCATTAGTGTAGAGAAATTCACTAAAATATATTTAGCGTTTAACATTGATTTCGAATATCATATTTATTGTACTTTTCAATTGTGTTATGGCATTGAAAATCATTATGCAAAAAACGAGATGTAAATCCGATTTCGTTCGGAACGTACTATGTTGACTTTATAAAACTTGAGTCTAATATCATTTTGTTTAGTATTCAATTGTTTAAAACAATCATGAGAAAAACTTACACAGACGATATTTTTATACTGTTTCTTTCTTTTATATCAAATGTTTCGTATATTTGATAGTCTTATGATTGCTTATAATTAACAATATTCTTTTTATTATAGGTATATGAGTTGAATCTCATGTGGGTGAGTGTGTGTGTAGTCTACATTCTGTCTTCATTTTTTTTTCTATGAAAAAAAAAAAAAAAAAAAAAAAACTATGAAAATTTTTCTTTTTTTTTCTTCGATTATGTTTACTCATAGATGGTTTTTGTTTCTTTTCTTATTTGTTTGTGTATGTGTTTCTTCGCTACACTAAATCATCAATGTTGGTTCTTCAAACGACAAAATTCTCAAATTTGATTGTTTTTCTTGTTTTTGTTTTTCTTCATTCTATGTGTACCAAGAAAAAAAAAAAGGAACATATATAAATAAGAAAGAAGACCTATATATATATATTATCAAGACACAAGTATATACGAAGATTATTCTGAAGAAATAAAAGAATAGTCTTAAGATGAGTATGTGAATTGTTCTATATCGATGAAGAATTTTAAAGGAAGAAAAAATAGAATAACGTGAATTATTAATTATTTATATTTGATAGTCATTTTTGAAATGTGTCTGTATTTATAAAACTATTTACTGGTTTCTAATCAACATTCATGATAAAAAACAAAATTCTTTTGTTTAAGACTTTATTGTTGATGATGTTAAATATTATTAAATTGATTGTATATGAATAAAAGTTATATTACTTTTAGGTTTATTATTTATTTTTAATATATATGACGACAATTGAAAAATAATCGTATAACTTATTGAGATACTTGTGAAGTTTGCATTATCACGTTTGAATGAAAGATTTCTTAAAAATTAAACTTCTCGAAAGCAGTTTTTTATGTTGGTTTTAGTATTTCACACTTTGTTGAAGAATTTATTTACAAAAAATTTTTGATAGAACCTAAAACGACTGTTTTTGCAGAGAAATTTCATTTAAACTTGTTAATAAAAGTGAGACGAATACTTCTTATGACAAGTATTATTTCAGCTAATCAAATATTTTCTTTAATTTGTTACATCGATTTTTATTAAGGAAATAAGTCAAAAACTCTGCGTTTTTGAACCTTTCACTTGCATTTTATCTCATCGAATTGTACATGACTACACTAAACGCCTTTACATGGTTGCATAGAACGCAATATGTTTTCGTATTCATATAAATTTCATCACAAAAAAGTCGGACATTAGTTTCCTTACAAATACATGAAATATTATTTATTGATTTATTAAACAAGTAAAGTTCATCGAAAGTCGATTCCCTTATTCCTAGACTGACGGGTATGGATATCCATCTGGTTTCTTTTAGATGTAAACATGCGTTACATAAAAATGACATATGAAAACAGAACACTATGATAAGCCATGCTACATAAGAATTTATACTTTCAGATTCTCATTGTTAACAATATCGTGCAATCATACTGAAGCATACTATTGCACTTAGCACTATGAAATCTTTTGGAAAAGTTATCTCAATCAAAAATATGAACATAGGATCTTCTAATGGTTTATACATCCGAATAATATCAATAGACATTACTCCATCGATTCATACTCCACTTTTACTAAAGCCTTTTTAAATTATACAAAATAAATAACATGAAAGTAACGAGAGATGAATGAATTTATTTGCATTCATGTATTTTTTTTTTCTGTAAATAATTCAATTTTGAATCCGTTCAAATGATGATATGTTATTCGTTGAAATTTAGCTGAGTAATAAAGTAGTTCTTTTTGATCATGATTGTCATTTGTAGCACAGAAATGATGATTTGCACTTTAGTTAACTTATGGCAAACAATGTTCGAAACCAAAAGATAGACACAGTTGAATTTTCATTCCTAGAACTTATGCTTTCAATCTTGGAAAATAAGATAACCATTTTGTTAAATATCTTGCCAATTGAATTTAAACAATAAAAAAATAAAAATAATTTATTAAAGTTAAATATGTAATGTTTTCTTGTTTGTCGATTAAATTTAAATGAAATAAATACGTACTATTGAATTGGTTGCTGAATTGAAAATATAAAAGCTGTGTATTCGATAAGTGTAACTCTATTTATTATCAAATACGATTCAGTACAATAATTATGCATGACAAGTTTTTATGGTATTCGTGTGTGTGTGTTTTTTTGAGTGTTCAATTTTTGACATACTTTACAATATGATTATGACTTTTTTTGAACTGGATTGATCAGCCATTTTCACAATAAAATTGATCTAATGATGACGAACAAACAAAGTTTTCTATTAAGATTTTTTGAAAAATAACGATCAATGACTAATAATCATAGATATGTCGAGTTGTTGTTAATTTTTTTTTTGCTATTGATACACATGGTTTTCAATCACAAGAAAAAGATGAGAGAATCTATACAAAAGGAAGCCAATAAATTTGTTTGTCTCATTCTGTCTGTGTTTCTTTTTTTTTTTTTTTTATTAAATTAAAACATATTTCATTTCGATCACAATACAATGGCAGGGCAAATAGCAACTCCCAATAATCCGACATTACCAATAACAGTTCCTGCGAATGATATAGATCAGATAAGATTAAATTTAGGTACTACCGGTACAACAGATAATATTCTTCGGAATGTAGCAATACCAGGTAGGTCAGAAGATCATATTAATTATTGATTAAAAAATTTTTATATTTAGTGGAACCAGTTACGGTACCACAACGGAACGATGTAAGTCTCTTATTGAGATTGAAAAATTTAAATGCTCTTCAATGTAAAAGCCAAATATAAATATAAAGAATCAAAAAAGAAAAACGAGAATGTCAAAAAAAAAAAGTTACTAAACGTTAAAGTAGGAAAAAGAAATTGAAGAGAAAAAAGAATCGATATGATGTTTGTAAAAAAAAAGAAAAATAGTAATGACGATATTTACTTAACTGATCGTTAGTAACTGTCGATCGGTTGGTCGTGAAGTAAGACGTAAAGCATATAATTTTTGTTTTTAAAAAATCAAATCAACATCTTTTAATAATTATCTTTAGTACGATTTACCACCTGTAATGACAGCAGCCAAATATGGTGCATTATTTCCACATGTTGCTACACGAGGAAAAGATCTTCTTCATATATTAGTACATGGTGCAGCTAATTTACCTTTTGTTGATGGCCGACCACCACGATGTTATGTCACAGCGTAATGATATGATTTATTTTTCTTTTTTTGAAAATTTTTATACGTAATTATGTAATATTTAGACAAAGTCGTTCGACAATGGCAACACAAGATATTGGAGAAACAATAAATGCAACAAATGTTATGGAAGGTATTTCACCTCATTGGAATGAAATGATATATGCTGATATATTTGAAGAAACTAATCATGCTGAAGGTAAATTTAACAAAAGAATATTTCAAAATAATATATATATATATATATAGAGGTTATTATATTGATTATTGATGAACCACGACAACGAACAATATCTGAACATCGTTTTCCATGGCGATGGTTAGAACCATTTTATCAATATCATATAAATTTACAACATACATCAAAACAAACAGCTCAAACAACATCTCTATTTTTATCTATAATGCGTAAACAAAGTACTCTATCAAAAGAAGATATTCGTTATTTTGGTTTGGAAGTTTTACTTAATCGATTTGATGTAACATTACCAAAAAAACGTGTTTTATATGCTGTTGCACGAATTATACCTGATTATGAAACTTATAAGTATGTGTCTTTTTTTTTACTTCTAGGTGAGTGTATAAATAAACTAATAAAATTGTTGATATATATATTTATAGACATGATTATTTACGTAATCTTGATAATCCAAAATTGGGTATTGATTTTAAAAAAATATATGTTCCAACAGCTCAAGATTTTGCTGTATCTGATTATTCATTTACTGGTTATCCTCAAACATCATTAGCATCAAAAGAAGTATATTTAATTTCAAACTTTTTACTTTTTTTTTAAATTTTTTGTCATAGTCAAAACTTCCAACATGGATGCATAATTATTTATTTTCACATGAACATGAAAAAGATAATATGTTTTCAAATAATTCTGCAATTGTTATTGAATTTTATCCATTTCAACCAATTTCTAATAATCCAAATTGGCGTATAAAAACATTAATTGGATGGATAACTATTCGTTTAGATACACGAACATATGATGCATTAACAGCACCAAGTTCAGCTGAAGGAATGAGAACAGAAGGTACCTTTTTTTTTTATTTTTATTTTTAATATGTATTGAAAATTTATTTTCAAAAAAGGACTTGTGGTTGAAAGTGATGGTGAATTAGTTTCAGAAAATACAAAATATTTAACAGCTGAAGTATTACTTCGTCTTGTATCAGAAAGACATCCAGGAAAAAATCTTCTTGCATATGCAGCTAGTAATCTACCAATTTTACCTTCATATTATGTTGAAGGTGTTCGACATGGTGGTGCTCCACCTGTATATATGCAAGTTACTGTACCAAAAAAAAATTTTCTACCTGCAATACAAACACCAGTAACACAACCACCAATAACACAAACACCAATAACACAATCTATTATAAATCCATCAATACCAGTAAGAAAAAAAAAAAAAAAAAAATTGATTATTTTTTGGTACTACTAATAATTAAGTTTTAAGCAGTGTTTTCATTTTGTATTTATCATAGTTTTTCAATATTGATATGGTGAGTTATAAAAATATGTTACCAATATATCTATCCTATATCCTTTACGATAAATAATTTCATTTCACCCTCTAATATAGTAATTATTCATAAATGCTTAGAAACCTAATGAAATTTTATACAATAAGTAAAAAACCAAAAATTTGTTTCTAAACATCATTTCAATAGTAATAATTATAATAATAAATCAAAAATGACTTTTACAATTTTATTAGAAGTATTACTATAATATAATTTTTATATAATAGTAATTTAAAACTTTCATACCTATGAAAGATAAGCAGAAAATGAGTTAACTTTTCTTTTCTTTTTTTTTCCTCATACAAAAATGAAATGATTTTTTTCTCTATCATAAAATAATTTTTTTTTCACTTTTCGGATGACATGCTGTGTTGGTTGCCAATGAAGCATAATAACACATATGTATATGTCTTATAATCCTAAATACAAAAAACAATGGGTAATAGTTCCCAAGCCATCTCATGTTTTAAATAATTCATTAGGAAATTATTCATTTGTATGTATTTTATATAGATTAAAATAATCTAATATCATGTTTTTTTTTTCATTTTAAGTTAGGTCAACCAACAATGCTTGCACCACAATTCTATCAACAACAACCATACGAAGTATAATTATTAAGTGTTGTTTTTTTTTTATTAAAGTAAATATTCTATTTTATTTGGTAAGGTTGTACCAACACTTCAATATGTAGATCGACAAGATGTAAATGATCTTTTTGTTGTTTTTATTTTTGTAAAATAAATTAAATTAGGGTGTTCGTTTTCGTATTCCACGTGTTAATCTATATGATTTGGATGATATTCCAACAGAATATCGTGCAATGTTGGCAACAAATTATCCACCACGTCGTGATGATGATATTGATGGTTGGTTTGATTATTTTCAACGTGAAATAGCTGTTTATAAACAAGCTATTCGACGTGTTATACAAGATGTTGCACAATTACGTGATCAACATAAAACTTTAACTGCAGCAAATAATGATTTAAAAGTTAAATTGGAAAATTTTGATAAGAAAAAAAAAGTTTTATATGAAATATTTGAAGGTGATAAAATTGATAAAGCTAAAATGCAAGATATATTTAGTAAGAAAAGAAATCTTAAATTTTTTTTTAATGTTTTTGGCTCATATCTCTAAATATTTATTAAATAATTTAGATCGTTTATCTGCAAAAATATCTGCTCAAGGACTTGAATTAAAAGAAAATCATGCTAAAATAAATAATTATGAAAAAGAATTAGCTCGTGTATGTTAAATTTAAATAAAATTTTCTTTTTTTAATTTTTAATAAACGATTTTTTTTTTTGTTTTTTTTTTTGATATAGAGAAGTGAATTACGTGCTCAATATGATGCATTAGTTCGAACAACTCAAGCACGTGAATTAGAAATTAAAGTAATGAAAGACCGTTTATTAAAAGCTGATGGACTTGAAGAAACAGTTCGACGACAAGAACTTGTTATTGAAAAACTTGAAGCAATGATTACTAATTATTTAAAAGAAAAACGATTAAAAGGTAAAAATTAATTTTTTTTTTATCTTCAAATTTTTTTGAATATTATTTCATTTAGGAGCATTCAATGATGTTGATCGAACTTTCTTATCTGAACATGCTGCACTTGGATTAGAAACTCAACAACTTCAAGTAAATTTTATTTATTTTTTTTTTGATAGAAAATAAATTATATTCATTATAGAGACGAATACCTCCAACACGTTATTCTGCAACAGTAACAAATCAACGTGATGATCTTGTACGACAAAATTTACTTTATCAACAAGAATTAGCTAATCTCAAAGCACGAGTAAGATATTATAATTTTGAAATTATAATATTTTTTTTTGAAATTTTTTTTGTTTTATAGTTTCAAGAAAATGCTTCCGCATGGGGTAGAGAAAAAGCTGAACTTCTTACAAAAATTAATGATATTGATCAACCAGTAAGTTAATATTACATATTGATTATTATTGATTTTCTTTTCTATTTAGTTCAATACTCCAAGACCACGAAAACTTGAACCTCTTTAAATGTTTATTTTCTTGTTCAATAATAATAAAAAAAAAAAGAAATAAGACAGAAGTTTTTCTTCACAACTGAGAATAATAAACAAACAAAGAAAATATATCTGACAAAGTAAAAATATCCATATCAATAACAAATAAACAAAGAAAAAAAGAAAAATATATATAAATATTTATCATTGAAACTTAATTCATATCAGAACTATAGCCACTACTAGTTGCTGAAAGAGGCGTATTACAAGTTGATGATTGAACATTGACATTTTGTATAAATTTTTCTTTTAATTGCATATCAATACGATGTAAATCATTAGTTATAGTTTCTATTTGATGTTTATTTTCATGATATTGTTGACGATTACAAGGATGATGATAATTTTTTAATTTATATTCAATATCATCTAATCGTTCATTGAATATAGAAATTTTTTCATGACGTAGTTTATAATTTACTTGAAATTTTAACCAAGTAACTATAAAAATAATTAAATATTCAAATGAAAAAAAAAAAAAAATAATTTTTTCTATTATCAAATTTTACCTTTTGATAAAAGCAAATTATTTTTTTTATAATCACGATTTTTCCAATCAATTTCATGTCTATTATGACATTTATAACATAAAAGTATATCACAATGATAACAAAGTTCAAGTTTTTGATACGTTTTACAATTGTAACATTTTGCATTAATATTAATCGATCGATTTTCATTAAATTTTTCTTGTCGAAATTGTTCAACAAGTGTTAATACAATACGATTAATAGGTAAAATTTGTCCAATAAAATGATATCGACAAAGAGGACATATTACAAACGTACGATTATTTATTAATGTATGAAGACATTTGCAACAAAATGTATGTGAACATGGTAATAAACGAGGATCATCAAATAAATCCATACATATTGGACATGTTAATGTTTCTTCAAATGATGGCATTTATTTATTTATTTATTTATTTGATTCTGAAATGAAGAACTAATTATAGTCTAAATACAGGCAAGGAAAATACAAAGACGAAAGAAAAACAAAAGAGGAAAGGATTTTTTTTTTGTTTTTCAAATTAAAGTCCTTCATAAAAACGTTCAAGAAAACTTGTTGGTTTTTTCTTATATGTATTTTTCGAACTATCTAAATAAGCAGCATTATGTTGTTGTCGCCATATTTCAGCTGTTTCAACAAAATCCATTTGACCACGTACAACAAGTAAATCAATTACACGTAAATCAGTTACATCTTTATTACGCATAAAATTTTCCTATAAAAAAAAACTTATGCATATATATAATGAAATCTGGTATATTTTTTTGTTAACGACTACTTTAATAACATTACGTAAATGTGTTTCTGTCCAATTATTTTTAATATAATCAACACGAAGATAAGGTATTTGTCGAAGCCAAATTTTATAAAGATTTAAAACACGTCGTTTAGCTTCAGCATGATCTGTTGAAAGAACAGGTCGAACTTGTTTTAATGTTTGAGGTAAACGACTAGTTAATGACATACGATTATATTTATATTCTAAAATTACAATTAATATAGAATTATTTTTAATATTGTTTTTTTTTTTTTCTTTAAAGAAAACAACAGATCAATGAGAAGCTAGTACAACGACCAATCATATCGCTAACATAACTAACCAATAAAAATACCATAAAATACTCAAATACAATCCAGAAAATATTAAATCTTTCCTTGGTTACTTAAACAAACACTCTACAATAAACAACTTCAACTAATAAACTTTGTTCTTAAAGACATCATAATCTACAAAGTCAATCTCTAAACAATAAACCTATGTGTATCAGATGTAGAATACTTATAAAAGAACTTATTTTCTTTCTGATATAGCATTACAACTATCATCTACTATTATTCAAGAAAATGTTTTTTTTCATGAACTATGTAGCACATCATTTTATTGGTCTACAGACATAAACTAAAGCAAAATAATTCGATTGATACAATTACTTGATTCATATTTTTTTATTTTCACTCTTCTATTTATTATTGTAATAGCGACACCAAACGTTCAGGTCAGACTAGTAGTTCTAGTCTTGATTATAAGCAAAACGATTCATTGTGGCAAGCAGCATCATATTGATCCTATTAAACAAAAGAAGAAAGCTCTCTCTCTTTAAAAGTATATCCTAACAAACGAGAGAGACTATCAAGTTCCGCAATTGTCACATATATTTAATATCACCTAACATGTTTAAATCATCTTAAAGAAATACTTTAACAAGAGATTTTTATAATTTAATGAAGAAATATAGTAATAAAAATAAAAGCAGTAATGAGAATAGATTGAAATATGCAGGGATGATAATTCATAATTAAAGATAGCCAAATCCAAATTGTGGTACGCCATAGGAATGATTTTTTTTTCTACTTGTCTGATAGTTTGATATTATGATCAATAACAATTATTGGGTAGCCTCGATAATTCGTCGTATTCTAATAGATTCTCAATGATAGAAAACAGCTAGATTGAACACAATCACAGAAAAATATATAGACAAAAAAATAATAATAATAAGTCAAAACGAGATCTATTGCATCGGTTTTGGTTGGGCATGGGCTATTGTATGTTTTCGAGCTGTTTCATAAAATTCGTTTGGATTCTTAAGCATTTGTTGAGCTATAGCAGACACAAGAGGACTTTCAGTACTTGGATCAGCCAATAATTCGATTATTTGAAGTAAAACTTTTAAATATAAATACAAAAAGATTTTTTTATAATAAAATAAGAAAAAAAACAAAACATTTTTTTTTTATTCTACTTGTCACAATCGAAAGATTTGGCGTCCATTTTTCACTAAGAACATCGAGACCTAAAAAAAAAATAAATGAGATAAAATTAAAGAATTTAATTTATGTAAATAATATTTACAAATGCTTCCGTCATCTTTTACTGCTGGATGATATACTGGTGTCACGAATTTAACCTAGACAAAAAAAAAAAAGATAAACTATTATGATTTGTATGAAATCAATTGATCAATTACTTTTGGTGGTTTAAATGGAAAATCTGTTGGTAAATTAATATCAAGAGTAAAAATATGATCAGCATATGGTGAATTATCCTATAATTTAAAAAAAAACGAATGAATAGAGTTGAGTAGGTCACGACGAACATTTTCTACAAAGATAATTTTTTTTTATTATTATTATCAATACAAAAATAATAGAAAACGATTGTAAACATGATCTTATTCACTGAAACTATTTTATCATTTTAAGTCATTATTATTTATTTGACTTACTGGTCCAACAATTTTAGCTTCCAATTGTAAAACTAAATAAATATGTGATTAAAAATTAAAGAAAAAAAAAAAAAACTCGAAAACTTACTGTCATTTCCTTTTGGTTCTAATTTACTAACTTGAGCTGAATTTTCCTTAGCAGTTTTAAATTCCTATGAAAAACAAAATAACTTCTTATAATCAATTGATCTTTTCAAATACTTTTAATAATCGTCGTTGTATTGTTGCCATTACTTTTTATAATTAGAATACTATGCACAAAAGAAAACAAGGGTAAATTTGAATAGTAAATGAAGGAAAAAATAATAATAATAATAATAATAGATTTGTTGCAAGAACATAACAGTCGAGAAAAAAGCTTGTGATTGGTTAATTATACTATCAAAAAAAAATATGTAGTAGTTTCCTCCGAAAGAGAGTGACATCTATAGAAACTGGAATTTGATCTTTAAATAAAAATGCTCATGCCAGAACAAATATAAGTTGATTCAAGTCAGTTGTTCGATAATGAGAAAAAAAATTAAATGTTTGATAAAAAGACCAAGTTTCTTTTGTATTGATCCCAGTAACTTCTTTTCTAGTGGTTTTGGTCTTGAGAAAACTATTGAACAATTTATTTGTGTGTTACTGAAAATTATATCGTTAGAAATGTGATGTTAAGAAACTTTTTTTATCTCACAATCTTCATATGAAGATAGTGCTTGTCGTCTAAGTAATAATTGCCAAACAACACAACTTCTTTGTTCCAATAGTCAATAGTAAGTTATTTGTACTATTTATATGATCATTTAACAATATTCCTTTTTGAACGTGTTTAAATGAGAAAAAAAAACAATCTCTTGAAACATTTTTTATATCACTATCTCTTAAAAATACTTATTTCTTTCGATTTGTTTTTCTATTCTAGTTTCATTCATATTTCAGCTAATTTCAATTCAACAATTGTACTATGGAGTGAAAGTAATACTTTCAATTAATTCTGACAATAACATTCCTATTAGTCAAATATCAAACATTCACCATTTGATTGTATCGATTGAAACCATTAAAGCATTAGCAGTTGCATTCTCTGAATTTTTTCAAATTTAAGAAAAAAATGATTCGTATAGAATAGTTAACATGTAAAGAAAACAATTGATTATGGTTCAAAATAAGTCCAATAGAGCATATATTTCAATAGTTATTATTCAAAAGATGGAACTTTTAAAGAATAAGATGCTCAATTCGAAAGGAAATAGTTACGTCAAAAAACTAAATAATATAGAAACTGTTTCAAAATTTAAATTTAACGAAAAATGAATTTTATGCTGCACATTGAACATTTGTTAGAATGATCAAAATAATTCTGTAGGTCTGAGTCTTTTTGTTATTCTTGTATAAAGAGTGCTTTCAAATTTTGACACCTATCGAGTATAGGTGTGAGTGTTGGCTGATGTGAGCGGGTTTGGGTCTTCACTTCGCTCCTACTCAGCCATTCATGTCCACTTCTTCACAACCACACCCTCACGCATACTAACATGTGAAAAAAATCATATTTTATGTCATGTGGCGAGACTAACACGTGAACTCGAACATGCTTTTCGTTCAGACAATATTTGACTCAGTTTTATTGACTATTACTTTTGTCATAGATTTTAAAAGCCATTCCACTGTGCCTCTCTCTCTTCGTAGTAATAGTAAACATCTCTGCGTGTACAGTGCGGTGACGATAACATTGATTATATGAGATAGTCAA